CCGTCCCCGCAGCAGCCGTACCTGGGAGGGCAGGGGGATGCTGCCCGGGGCCCGGCAGCGCAGCATCGCTGCCTGCGCCGGCCTCGCCTGGTAAACAAACAACAGCGTTAGAAGGTTTCCCCAGCAAATGCAATTCACGGAAGCGAAGAGCTGCAACTTTGGGGTTTTGAGCTGGGAGGCCCTGCTTTGAACACAAACGATATGGTAAGAGAGCGGCGTAAGAGCAGGCAAAAACAAATGGGGAGTTTTAACCGTCAGTGTGTTACATGCCCCACTCAGACACGTGCAAAAAAGCAGTGTTTTTAAGAGACTGACTTACATCAAAATCTAAACTAAAACAAATGATCAAACCCATTGTGTTTCTGGTACTTTACACTGACAGTGTCGTTCTGCTAGCTTGGGAGCATCGTATTCTTACTGTCAATAAATTTTCGTGATTACCTAAGAATATGTATGTCTACATGTTTTTTAAAAAGGAAAAAAAGCATTTGTTAATCAGTGTTTTATTCCTTTAATTTTTATTCAGTTCTGCTATCAGTAAGGACAACGTCTTTTTCCTTCTGAAAAAGCATACTCATTTTCTAGACACAGTTCATAAATAATTCTAAATATGGAGATCATTTCTTTAGGGCATATTCAGTGACTGTGGAAATTCTGTTCGTGTTACAACAAATACCGCAGAAGTATCAACTTATAAAAACAAACAGTAGTCTGGAAACTCTTTAAATAGCTGATCACAGTTTTGGCAAAACTTAATCTTCAAACTGGTCCCCCAACGTGTCCTTGTGACAAAGTGGCATTCAAATCAAAAGCCTTTTGGGTTTCACCATGAAAGGACCTAGAAGGAAAACTGTATCTGGCACTATCAGGGAAGAAGTGAACGAGAACTGCTTTTTTTCTGGCAACACACTGCTGTTTGGTAATCAAAGAGTATCCAGTTTCTGAATGCTCAAGAATCCAGTGGAACACAAAGGGCAACAATTCTGCTTTCTTCCCGTAGTTTTTCATTATCGATATTTTTATCTTTCAAGACAACGAACTCAACTGACAATCCAATGAACTCAAGATTTGAATGCAACCTTTGTGCCAATGAATTCCTTCATTGTGTAGGATCAAGAGAATATTTTAATCCCTTTTCTATTAGTAGGCTACCTTGCATAAGTAATCAGAAATGATACCCAACCTTCTTCTGTGCTGAGGACAGGCTGAATGGGATTAATATATTATTAGGAGGAACTGAATTTCCAATTAGGTGTCTGGATACTTCACTCAAATGTGATTTGTAATGTTGAAAACTCACTGGGAATCACAGGCTTGCAATCATGGTTTGTTTTTTAATATTAGTCCGCTGTTTTTCCATTTACATTATCTAAATTATATGTGTTTTTTCTTGAAGAAATTCAGCAAGTACCAAAACTTCGGAGTGAGAAATAATTAATATCAATTATGTAAACCAACCATCTCTCATCTAGAGTACAGCACAAGCTACCCCTGGAGGTGGCAGCACGAATGACACCTGTCACTGCTGCTGGTTTGTGAGTGTAACTGTTTGAACAGAGGTGCTAAAGCTGGGATAGGATTATTTTGCCAGTCCTGCAAGGTATTTTGTTACCAAGGACTTCTTCACACTTAATAAAGAAGTAGATCAGGCAATTAATTTAATCTCTTCAAACTTGTAACCCTCTACATATTAATTTAAATTATCAGCACTGCTTGAGCATTCAAAACCTGAAAGGACTAATACAATATGAGAAAAATGGATAACTTCTTTCATGACTTGATGCCTGTCAGATTTACAGCACTTCAGTCTGTTAAACTGTCCAACTGAGCATCTGTGAGCTGGAAGTGCAAATGTCTATCAATTTAAATCCTAAATCGTGCCTCGTCCAACCAAGCTCCAGGAGGTTGAAGAGAGCTGAAAACACAGTGAAGAACATAAGACAATTAGTGACAGCTGGTCAGTAACTTAGGAGCCTTATAGTTACAAACCACGCCAAACAGCTTTTAGATACTCAAAAGCTAGAGCAGAATCCAGAGTTTGAAAAAAGCCAGTGCAGAAGGTAAAAAGGCATGTAAAAAGTTCAGCACAAACAGGAGTGGAATGAGAGCTTCTCAGGGTGTGGATATATTCTAAATCCTAAATCTTACTGCCTGGGATAGAAGTACTCGCAACTTCTCAGAGCTACGGGTAGTGCCCTCATTCACCAGAGACGCTGTACAGCACTTTCTTGAGGTGGTGGTACTGTCCTTCTGCACAGAATGGAAAAGACTTATTCTCACTTTTAAGGCGTGATGGAGATGGTGCTGAGTTGTTTACAAAGGTATCTGCATCATGCTCCAAAAGGGTCTTTTTAGCCTGTCTCCACCACAGTGTAGGGTTTGGTTTTTTTGCTAAGCTATTGCTACATTTAAACTTACTTCAGAGAGAATTCACTGGGCAGCTTCTAAGAGACTTTATATTTCCTTTGCCATTTTGGGTTTCTCTTTAAAAATATCACTTATGGCACTTGCAAACGTAGTTAGCTGCCGTCATTTAAAATTTCTATCCAACTACAGGCAATATACTGATAACTGTACAGGTCTGGAATAACAAGCATGGTACTAATATGTAAAACAAAACTCACTGTCATCTCAACTGATTAAAAAAAGTATATTTACATTTTGTCGCCTTTAAATTACTTCTGCAAGTGTTGTACCAAATATGGATAGACAGAATAGGGTGAGAGGAAGCTGCGGGTACCAAAGCGTTGCAGTATGTTTTATTTCCTCTTAGCATGAAAATGCTCTGTGCCTTACATAATAAATTTGCATAATTTCTTGATAACTTTAGCAAATCTCCATATTCCTGTTGATACAGAAATATGTGCACAGCTTGTACATGACAATGACCAAACATAACTACAATTTTTCATTCTGATTCTTGCATGGAAAGCGTCAGGTGCATTTCTGCATGATGCAAGAAATGGCACATACAAGTGTAAACAGGGTTGTCCTTGACCAGCTAGATGAAGATTAAGCTACAATCGATTCCACCTATAGAAGTTGCTTCAAATTGTACACTTTTTTTATATTAAGCAGGGAATGAAAATAACCACCTGAGGACCACTTTTCAATCCAAAAGGTAAAAAAAGAATAATGTGATAAGGGAACTATGGAAAACTTTTTTAAAAAAGCAAACGAAAGAGCCTCTCCAAAATTGTGGAAATAATTTCATTCCACGCCTAATTTTACTTCCATTGTTATGAACAAGATTTGCATCAAGGATTCACTGCATTTCAGTTTCACGTTTGCACTGTAAAACGCTCGCTGGAGCAATTTCTGAGATTATTCTACGAGTCTAAGAGAAGCTGCGTATCTGGATTTTGCCAAGCAGCTGCAGTGGCCCCTACAGAAGTGCTTGTATCTCTGCTTCAAGAGAACGGTTGTACCTTTCAGTTCTGCTCCCTCCGTGTCTGCTGGGTATGCCATGCACCATGAAAGGACTAACTCTGGACCATATGCGTGCCACAGGAAAGAGAAAGAACACCAACTTCAGCTACAAAGTGTTATTTCCCTTCTCTTACACTTTCAAATCTGGTGAAAAATAGGATGCAATCCTACGTAATGGTTCAGGGCAACCAGCACCAGCCCTCAAACTTACAACCATTACTTAGGATGAGTTGCTAGAAGCAGCAGATACTGCATCATTCTACATACTCCTTGCAAAGAACATACTGCCATAGGCTGTCTGAAGACGAAAAGCAGTAACGCACCTTGAGCCTGGCAGAGTATAGGAAACAACTGCTGAAGCTGAGCTTGTCACTTCATTGTTTTAAAAAACTGTCCTCAAGAAATATAAAAAAAAGGCTAAGAAAAAGAAGTAGTATCTACTAAACAGAGAAAGTGCAGAGGGTCATCACAAATTATTAAAAGGCAAATACATGTTATTGTTCAAAAAACTTCTCAAATAAGCTCCACACATTCTAAAGGGAATAAGATTTTGTTTATTAAGAATTACTCTGTAATTGATCTAACTTCCTTCACTCGTATTTAGCTAATATTGTTATGCATGGGATTTGTGCCAATAACCTGAAAAAAAGTATATGAAATTAGTCTTACAGTTAAAAATATGTTGCATTTAAAAGACTGAAAAATTGGCTAATGTTTATGGTAATGATCTAGTTTGTTGGTATGTCTGATGTAATTTCTGGTTAATATTTTTTTTAAATCTTCAAAACTTCCTATAGTATTTGTACATTCTTGAGATAACATTTAATCTGTATTACATTGCAAACGTGCTGCTGTACTTTAGCACAGACGTCCTGCTTAACAAAATTCCGCTTTTCCTGTTTCCTCCAAATATGTACCCATCGATGTAAAAATCAATAAAAGGACTTTCTTCAGTCCTTAAGACGTACGACAGAGCTTCCCTCTGTCGCGGTACTGCCACGTGCTTCCCCTTTACCTTTGCCCAGCTGAACTGGCATGCTTTCGGACTTCATCATCCTCTGCTGCTGTGCCTGGTGGTGGTGGTGGTGGTGGTGCTGGTGCTGGTGGTGGTGGTGGTGCTGCTGCTGGGGGAGTTCCACTGCGCTTCTGATGGGCATTGCAGGGGGAGGAAAGCTGCTCCCGCCGGCAGGGGCACCCCCAGCCCCTCCTGAAGCCATAGCCGGAGCAATGAGCTTTCGGCCAAAATTCAGTAAGCTGTTGGAGACTTTGTTAATGTTCAGTGGGGCAGCCTTAGCACTGGCGCTGGAAAAAAAGAAGAGGAGAAATCATCACATCCTTGCCAACGGTTTGGACAGACATAGCAATGCATGCATTGCTCTCCAAAAATGGAGGAAAAACCCCCAAGATCTGAGCATTACAAAGCCGGTGTTTTACCACAGTCGTGCTGGAATATACACAGGAACCACAGGGACTGCATGTGGTGCGAGTTTTTCCCCACCGGCAGCGGACAAATTTTTTTTGCCCTTTCTTCCTGAAAAATGCAGACTAATCCCAAACAAAGCAAGTTTGTCCCAATTTTCTTAATTTGCCTTTTTAAATGAAAAGAATGAAAACGTGACAAAAAGCAATCCAGACTCTAAAGCATTGAAAGCTTAATAAAACTGACTTTTTGCACTTCTTATTCAAAGGCTGCTTTAATATTTACTTCTGCTACATTAAATTCTCTTAAATGTTTAAAATAACTCAAACCCAAACATTTCTTTCAACAAGCAAAACTACCACTAGACTGTGTTTTTAGGTTGGCAGAGCTAGATGACGCTTGCTTTTACTTCACCTTCTGCCTAGCCCAGCCATTTCAAGCCAAGCGCTTTTTAACGGGAATCCTGATTTCAAAAGTGATTTTGGCTGAAGAATGGCTTCAGGATATAACACATATACTAGATCATGATCCTTATCATTGTTACTTTTTATTTCTAACTACAGTGGCTATTTAATTCACTTCAGTTACATGCAACATTAAGAACGAGGAAATTGTCGAACCATTTAATCTGTCGAAAATAAAGAGGCAAGGAAGCTTCTAATTCCCAGTAGAAGTGTTCACATAACCCAGGGATCAGCAAACCCATTCCTATTTGTTCATGCAATATTTTCCTGTTTTACATAATTAATGCTTGAAATACCATTCATAGAAATATATCACAATCACAGAGACCTTTCTATTCCTGAGGTTTTATTTTACTGATCTGTACTTCAGTGATATAAATAGCTGTCTTTAAAAAATTTGAAGAAATACATGTAATTAAAAACAATACAATCATTGTACTGGGGAAAAAAATAGTTTTGGAATGCTTTGGGGAAGTTTAACTAAAAATAAATTACAAATGGATTAATATGGGTGACTTGTAACTTGCGCAAGCACCTAGAAAAGTAATTTTGATTTTGCTTTTCATGCACTTGCCTATTCGTCTCCAGATATGTTTTTTTTAGAATACACAATATAAATACGCGCACACATATAGAACATAAGCAGAAAATAACAACAGCTGAGTTGTTTAGACTCAGAATAGATCCAGTTAAAATGAGAGAAAGCAGAAGAAAGTATGTGAGCCTGCACACTCACGAGATATAGCCCCAAGCTGTATGGGGCCCTTCTGCCATATACTGGTGGTGAAGAAAGACAGCATGTAGCATTTTTTAGGAGGAACAGCAGCGCAGAGACTGGGACACGGTGCTGCTTCCCAATTTATGGAAGCTGGAAAGGAATGATTGCTGAATAACGATTAAAGGATGTTTCGGTGTCTTTCCATTTTATTGATTGCTGCCGATATTACAAAAAGTCTTTCTGTAGCCACCTGAGAATGACTGACAAAGTCACTACAAAGAGAGCATCTTCAGAACTATAAAATACTCTTGCAGGAGTCCCAAATGGGTTCAAATGCAAACTGAATAGGTCCTAATGATTTTAAAGAAAAGGACATGGTAAAATATTTATTACTATTAAATTTTACTCTGCCACTACCTAGCAGATTCAGTTATTAATCAGTTCCCCAAGGTATTGCAGAGACACTTCAGGAAAAAAAAGGGATTTTTTCTATTAAATCACATGTATGTGGCATCAGAAGAGTCAGCACAGGGCCTTTTGTTTAACGTCTTCTCCATTCCAGAAAGAAAACGAAGACTGTAGCTTTGAAGGTGGAAGATGAAATGCCAAATGCTGGCTTAGCAGATGTCAGTCAGTTATCAACAGTTTGCAATGAATCTAATTACATCACCGATTTCGGGGGTCATACCAGTAATAACTCGGTTGAGATTCAGAATCCAACCTTTAGTGTGTTTGGCATATTTTTTTCCCTCAGCCTGCTGAAACTAATCACCAAGATTAGGGCGGTATATATCACTCACTCACCTGAAACATCCCCTTAGAAAGAAGATAATGGCTTGCACATTGAGTCCTAGGTTTGTGTTGTCTCTAGGTCTAGAGCCTTGACAATCAGTAAAAAAACCCTTGACTTTGCACAAAAAATGATATTTACTGGAAGTAAATCTTTTTCTCTGACAGGCTACCCAAGCAACAAAGCCACTGGACGCTTTGAGCTAACTGTGTCATTGGAATCATGATGGTCCACAGATGCAGGAGACAAAGCTTCTACAGGGGCTTGTGTATTTGTGTCCACCAGCTTGTTTCTTTCTTGTTTCTTTTTTTCAGCTGTATTTTGCTTAATAAAAAGTATCAGTTTTCCTCCTACACTGTTTAACTTGCTGCTTTGACGTATATTAAACCAGGAGAAGTTAGTTTATTTGCATTTTTCAGATGGTTGGAAAGAGATTTTTTGAGAAACTTCACTTTACAGGAACAATAAACACCAAAAATCTTCTCTAAGCCGTTATGTCGAAATATGATTTTAAAAAACGCTTTCACCAATAACGTGCAATAATGTTTCATAATTATTTGAGAACTAGAAAGGGTAGTTACCGCAGCTCCTAATACCTATGTGTGATGTGGCTCTGCTATGAACTGACACTGCTAACGATCAGCTCAGAACACATACACGAAAAAAAAAAATGATGCTATCTAAATTTCTTGTCAAGAGGTGGTCTTAATAAAAGTATTCTAAAGTAAAATTTATTGTGCAATTTCTCTGAATCACAGCTTCAGAAAATGAACAATAGCGAGGTGCTAGATTTCTGGAGGAGGTACATCAAAACTGAGCTGAAGTTCAGGAAAATAAGAACAATGTATCTATTTCTTACCATTTAAATGCCTGATATATTAATGCTAAGGATGATTACAGCCATTAAACACGGATCAATGTCTACATTTTAGCCAGCTAATTGTACCAGATATGCACAACAATTACAAGAAAAATGCTGATTGATTATGTTGTAGAGTTATCAGCAGATGCATTTAAAAGTAAGGCATCAGTTTAAAAATATGAGTATCAAGGAGACGTGAATTCCATCTATGAAGCAAACAATTTTGTTTCATCACAATAAGCATCATTGACCTTGACTGTGAATGGTGTATTTTTAAACTAGCAGTAGGAAGATGATTCAATCTCTGCAGTTTTCTGCTAAGATGAAAATGTTTTGTTTTAAGCCAGCCTTATTCAAAGGCATTTTTCTCTTCAGCAAGTAGCCATTATGAGAGATGAGAGACAAATATATGAATATGACGGATTAAAAAGTTTTATATGTGATAAAATAAGCAATATATATTAGAGATTTGCCAAGATATTTTAAATATATCATTGAGCCTGTGGAATTAAAGATGAAAAAGACCTGGTAGCTAATCTAATCCATCTCTCTGCTCACTGCAGAAACATTTCCTAATGTTACATCTTCCAGTACTCTCTTTAGTCCAATCTTAAACAGACTTACCGCATCTGACGTACTCTAAATGTTCCTGTGTTGAGATAAATTTGTCCCAGTTATTCCTCTATCTGAACTGATCTAAACAATTTCTCCTCTCCTTTGGTGTGTATCCTGTATATACGTGTGCAATGAATTTATATTCCTACATAGATTTAATGGACATTTGTTTCCTTACAATTTAGGTTTCCAACAGGTGTCATTCTTGTTTGGGCTTTATGATTTATTTATTTTTTCAAAATCCTTGACACGTTTCTTTTGGAATTTTCAAATAACTTATTTTTCAAGTTTAGGCAACTCTTGAGACCATTTTTAAAGAGAATAAATAAGTAAAAACATTGAGAAAATGCAATAGAATGCAGTAATTTTTGACACTCTTACCCAACTTTAAAGTCTGGTTTACAAAAACAAAAAGATGCTTTTGCAGTCACTCTGCTCAACTTTAATTTCTGCTCCTTTCTCCATTTTTAAGAGCTTTTTAAGCCACTCCATTTTAATTTTATCTAGCTTTTAATGTAACTGATTTAAACAGAATTTGACAGAGGTGCAAAGGTCTAAAAGCCAGCAAGTTCCTGTGAATCAGCAGGCGCAGTATAGGGCTGGGGCCACGTGCAATCCAAGAAACTGCCTGTGACAGTATAAGCTGAAGCAAGGCATTGCGTCTCGC